GTTCTTCTGCACTTGCCTATTGCGTCGCGCTCGATTGTGCAGCGGCCCCGGTGCATTGTACGGCTGGACACGACTACAACGTGTTGTGCTCCGAACTGCGCACCTTTGGGGTCGTACCCTCAACAAGCCCCCCCCCACCCAATGCACTTCCACGCAAGCCTGCGCTCCCAAGCGCGAGCATGAGCACAAGCAGGTGCATGCGCACGCGCACAGGCCCGCGTACACGCACATGCAAATGCACACGCGCACACACGTGCACACACACACACTCACAACCACACACTCACACACACACACACTCCACCCCCAAAACCCGACAATTTCACAGCGCTCACGGCCTGCTGCTCACGAGTCACCACGACCGGCGCCGCCGGCGCCGCCCTCTCGTGCGACCCGGCCTCCGGCCTCGTCCTGGCCGTCTCCTCAAACCCCAACGAAGACGTCGACGCCAAGGTCTCCGTCGCCGCGACGTCCGGCAACACCCTGTCCTTCGCCGGTGCTGGCGGCGCGCCGTCCGCAACCTGCGAGACGCCCAGCCGCCCGCTGCAGTGGGACGCCCTCCCAACGCCCCTCGCCCCGACGTCCTCGGGCACGGCTGTACTGAAGATTTCCAAGCCCGCGAGCGGGGCCGCCTGCGCGGCCGCAAGCTGCGCCGGGGCCACCCCGTCCGCGGGGGCATACCTGGCAGTCAACCAGGGTCATACCTGCGCCGTGACCCAGGCGGGCAGCGTGGCCTGCTCTGGGTTCAACCAGTGGGGCCAGCTGGGCGGCGGCAGCTTCAGCCAGGCAAACGCGCCGGTCAACGTGGGCGACAGCGTTGCCAACGCGCGCGCGGTCGTGGCCGGCCTGCGCCACTCGTGCGCCCTGCTGTCATCCGGCAAGGTCATGTGCTGTGAGTTGCTGGTTGGCTTGCTCGCTTGCTTCATGTTTGTCTCCAAGAGTGCAATGGGCTGTGCATCAAGCTATGGGCTATGGGCTCCTCTCAGGCTTACTTGCGGGTTGCCAGGCCGCCTGTGCTTGCCTGCAAGTCTCCTCACGCCTTTTCGGGCCCCATCTGATTTGCTTGTCTCGCTGCTGCTGTCGCATCCGGAAACCTGCTGCAGGGGGCAACAACCAGTACAGCCAGCTGGGCACCACCGCACTGACGGCCGACCAGAACACATACAAGGCGACGCCCTACGCCGTCGACGGCCTCACCAATGCGGTGCGTGGGCGGCCTTGCAAAACATGACCGTGGCTTGCCATCCACGCTAGAGGGACCGCTAAGCTGCTGGCATGATGCATTCGTGGAAACGGCTTCCAGTGTGGTGGGGTGACAAACACACCCAGCAAACGCACCTGTGTGATGTGATGGATTGCACACCTGTTTGCAACCTTTGCTTGCTGGTGATGCCTGATCTTCTCCAGGCTCGATCCCTGCAATCGAGTATCACCCACACCCCCTTCCCTTGCGTGCACACACGCAGATCGCCCTCAGTGCGGGCCCCTACTTCACTTGTGCCATCACCAGCGACGGCGGCCTGCGCTGCTGGGGCCAGAATCGCGCGGGGGAGGCTGCGGGGCAGGTCACATCGGACAGCATCCGCAGGACCCCCGGGGCCAGCGGCCTCATAAGTGTGAGTGGGAATAGGGGCTCAGTGCTGCGCTTCCTCAGCCCATTAGCACGGTTTGCTCCTGGAGGTTGAAAGCACTGCACCCCCTGCCGTGCCTTTTATTTGGCTTGATCAGAAGGGCCTGGTCTTGCCCCCGATCACACTGTTCAGCAGCTCGGCTGACTGCTCACATGCCATTGTTGCCCTGAGTCAAGCTGACAGAAACCACTGACACACAACCGCCCGGGCTGCATGAAGATCCCCTTTCTTTCATAAGTCTACTCACCTGCCATCATACTTGTACCTACCTCACAGATTGGTGATGTCATCGCCGTTGCCGCCGGCGGGCCCCTGTCCGCCACCGCGGGCTTCACCTGTGTCGTCGTCCGCGGGGGCCAGGTCAAGTGCATCGGCTCAAATGGCGCCGGCCTGGTGGGTCACCGCGACGGATCTGAGACATGTTGGGGCCCGCAGGTGCCCGGCCGTCGCCATGGCCCTACTGGATAACACACCTCGTGGTGGCGGTTCCCTCCCTGCTGGTCCCGCCAGGGCATCCAACAATCTGAAACACCCTTGCCGCCATCCGCCGTCTTTCCTCGCTGATCCAGCCGCCATCCGTGCGTTGCTTGACTTCCGTGCGTGGCTCTCTGCTGTCACCTGACGATCGGCGACCGCCTGAACCTCTGCACCACGCAGGTCATCGACTCTTCAAAACCTGCAACAGAAGCCCGCCAGTCCTGGACCGACGTGGCCGTGAAGGACGCCGTCGATATCGCCGCCGGCCAGGCGCACGTCTGCGCGCTGCGCGTCGGCGGCAAGGTCAGCTGCTGGGGCTCGAGCGCGGCCGGCCAGGTCGGCAACGGCGTGCAGGGATCGAACGTGCTCGCGCCCGTGGAGGTCGTCGGCGGCGGCGCGGTGTCGGTGTCGGCGGGCACGTCACACACGGCGGTGCTGATGAGCGACGGCAGTGTCAGGACCTGGTGAGCGCAGGCGAGGCAGCTAGTGTGGGGCAAACCCTGCATCAATGTTAGCAAAGCCGCGCGAGCCATGCAGCACACAGGACGGCGTGGTCCACACTGCGAGATGAGTACCACCTGCTGCCAATGTACTGTCGCAGCATGCCGCTGACGCCTGCTGCGGGCGCAGCTGCGCAGCGCCTCAGCTGCGCGGTAGGTCCCAAACAACGGAGGTCCACCCCCGTGGTGCTGACTGAAACCCTTCCCCACCCTCCGCTGGCTGCTGTCGCAGGGGCTCAAACGCGTATGGGCAGCTTGGCACTGGCAACCAGGCCGCAAGATCCACCCCTGGCGCCGCCACCACCCTCCCTACAGCCACCGCCGCCGTGGCCGGCGGCGACTCGACCTGCGTCCTCACCGCCGCCGGGGCGCGGGCTTGCGTTGGGCGCGGCGAGTGGGGCAGCGCCGGCGACAACGCGCCGAAGCAGAGCATCACGAGCGCGGTCAACGCGCAGGGCGGGCCGTATCGCTCCGTCGGTGCCACCTTCGTGCGGGTGTCTGCAAGTGACGGCACCAACGTTTGCGACCTGCCGCTCTCTGTGAAGATTGACTACACTTGTGAGCCACGCTGCCGCCTCGTGATCCAGTGTTTCGCAAGGGTGGTGGAAGTGCGCCAGTAACCGCATGTATGACAGCTCAAGGGCAACCGCATTCATAATGCTTGTTTGGCCCCAACGCTGGCAACAGTCGCTTTCGTACTAACAAATCGGAGCACTGCCCACAGGTTCTTGCTCGCCTTGCCTGATTCTAGGGGTGCCGCCTACTCCCCACCTTGCAGGCAAGCCGCCGACGACAGTTTCGTCCCCGTCTCCTTCTCCCTCCCTGTCGACATCGCCGGCTGCGTCGCCGCCGGTGTCGCAGCCGTCGCCGTCGCCAGCTACGTCGCCGTCTCCGTCGCCGGCTGCGTCGCCGTCGCCCAGCCCGACGACGACACCCCCCAGCCCGACGCCCCCCAGCACCATCAACGAGAAGATGGGTGCGCAGGACACCAGTCCGGCTAAAATTGTGCTTGTGTCCTCCCAGTTATCTGTGCCTTTGAATACCTTTACTGCATATCCGGAGCGCACCTCCCAACAATGGCCCGCTCCTGTCCATGCACCTGACGCCACCTTTGCTGCTCTGCATCCCCTCCATCCGTCGCCTTGACGCACAATCGCTTGCTGATACCGACTTCATTGGCAGGCATCTGGGTGAGTGCGAGCTCGTACGGGTGTGGGGTTTGTCCGGCAGCCCCCGCCACGGGCCTGCCCTGCCGTATTGCTTGGCACGCAGCAAGGCGCCCAAATCACCTTCGGCCATGCTGCTGTCTTGCCGCCTGTCAGGCCCAACTGATTGCTGTGCTCTGCATTGACGGATCGTCCGCGATCCTCGCACTTACCCACAGTCCCGCATCACCCCAAGCATGGGGAAAGGCGCAAAATTTTGAAGGCCCCCAGCCAGAGATGTGCTTTTTAATTGTTCTTCTGTCCTCACGCGCCAGCCCTCCGCCCTCCAATACACCTCTGCAGATCCCCTTCTACACCGCGGACGACAGCATGTACACAAACCTTATCACCAAGGTGGAGGGATCAGAGTGCCTCAAGGGCAGCTTCAAAGCTGGTGAGCCACACATTGTTTAGGGGTGTGTCCAGGGCACGTTGAGCCCAGTGAGGGGCAGCTGTCTTGGCGCGCTGATCTGAATATCATAAGTCTGCTCATTGTGATCCCTTTTTGGACTTGGATGTTATATATTTGAACTCCAAGGCACCTGGAGAATGTTTGAGCGTGTGACCCTCCCCCTGGCTGCCCCCCCTCCCCCTGTGCCCTCTCAGCTGTGCTGATCGGACCGGATTCCGGGCCGCCAAAGATTGGTGACAAGGTCTACCAGGAGCGTTTCGCAAAGGTCGCCAACACCCAGGAGTTCACCACGTTCGGTGAGCGCGCATACGGGCACGCATCCCAACCCGCCGCTGCCAGAACGTGCCATGCCTACAGCCCTGTAGGTGTGTGGCCCTGCTTCGCGTCCTGCGTTTTATCATCTATCGTTGCACTCTCACACAAAACCATACTTGTGTAATCTTTTTGGTCAAGCCATCATGCCCCACTTCCATATCTGCGCGTCCCAGGGTACCTCCACACCGGCTACGGCAAGCGGCCCCTCCAGGAGGTGCTGACTCAGATCGACACGTGGCTCGACAAGGAGAAGGGCTTTGGCAGCCAGGTCCAGGGCATATGGTGGGTCCTTTTTGATTTTGAGAAGAAGATCCTTGGGTTAGACTGAGGTTGGTTGGTCGACTCCGTCACAAAATTTTTAACCTCACCATTGATGAGCGGCGCCACCTGAAGTCAATGCTTGAATTTTGGATGACCAATCATGGTGACCAACCATCTCCTGCAGGGTGAACCAGGTGCCCCCCGCGGCGGACACGCCGGAGCTGGTGGCCTACTTTGATGCCATCATAGAGCGCATCCGTTTCTACTCTTCCCTCGTGTCTCTCAACCCTGGCACTGACATGACAGACTGCAAACTGGTGAGGCTGGGTCTGGTCTGGGCTGGGCTGGGTGCTTAGGGGGTGTGCCGTGAGTGTGGGCTTGGTTTGAACTGGGTCTAAACTGGGCCCGAGCAGGGCGTAGAATGAATTTGCACCAGCCTGGATTTGATTTGTCATGCTAGTTTCTGGCCGCAGCTCGTGGCCCCTGGCACGCCACAAGCACACTGCACTGGCCTAAACATCTTCTTGTTCTTCCATTTGCATTGCCCAGGCGGCCAAGGCTGACTTTGTCAACTCCTTTGAGAACACCTTTGACACCTGGAAGGCCACCAGCCCGTCATGCACCTGTGCCAAGTCGACCCGCTGCATCGCCAGCATCCACTCGTGAGAGGACCCCCTGTGGCCCACAGCGAAGCGCCTGTGATTCAAAACGGCGCGTGCATGCCATGGGGCTTGTCCCCGGCCCTCCCTTGTGAACGTCACGAAGCCGCACATTTGACCAAATCGTTGACCACGTCTCGCCGCTTTGCACCCACCCAACGCGCACGCCGCAGCTACACTGGGCCGGGCCAGGTGGCAGACCTTGCCGCGGTGAGCACCGACGGCTGCTGCGCCGCTGCTGTTGCACCGAAGCGATCTGCCCCGCCGGCACGCGCGCCCTGCACAGCGTAGCGTACAAAGGCACGGCAGCCGTCCCCGCAGGCAGCTGGCCGCGATATCCCACCGCCTTGGGCACCCGACACCTAGCTCATGACGCCCCCGCCCCTGCTTCAGTTCCTGATCGCCACACCTGACCCTGAAAAATGTCGCCCTCCAATGTGCTGGTTCCTGCCCCTCGCAGCTGATGGCAGAGACCTATAAGCGCGGCTTCCAGGGCACCTTCATCACAGAGCTCAAGATGTGAGCGCCCGCCGCGCATGCACGCCGCCGCCGCGTGCGTTGCACGGTCTGAACGCCTCCGCCTTGCGCGGATTGTTGCCATCCGCGTCAGAGTGTCAATCCGGGCGTTTGCACAGTAACGCGAGCCCCCACAACACAAGAACCTCATTCCATATCCCTGCACACACTGCCTGAAACTGACCCCCGTGCCCCTACTAC